TCAAAATGGTGGAACGACAAACGGACCATATTTCCTCATAATTAGCCTCCCTGAGTCTATTTTAGTTGATTTTGCGAGATTTTATTTATTACTCGATCGCAGATAGTTGTATTGATGTGAAAATATTGATTTTTTCTCTATCTGCACCACAGAATTCCATTGATATATAATCCAGAATCTATATAGTGCAACATTTGCAAGTCTAGTTGCTAAATTATAGTCCAATAATATATATATGTTGCACTGTAGATAACTAGAGACGCAGACAATTTCAGTATTTGCTTACGCGAAGCATCGATTCTTGTTCCACTTCATCAACTCCCCAACCCCTTGCCGGATACCGTGAATTTTCCCCATTCGCATCAGAGCAGGCAGAGGAAACTATATGTAATTTTCGCAGAGCGTTTGAGGAAGCAAAAACAGGTGAATGCAATTTGAAATTATTCTGCGATTAGCCTGTTGTGCATGCCTTTGATCGCAAGAAAATTTAAATAATAATTTTGCCTAATGAGCCGTCATGCGAAGTCCTGCCGGAGGCAAGGGGGAGATAATATGCCTTCAATCTGTACAACACTTCATAAACACTTCCAGCAATTGAAATATTTACACTGTTTCCGCCATAATTCGCAAATTATAATGAATCTATTAAGTTTCCTTCCGATTTTTCTATAAGGATCGATTTAAAACAGCTATTTTAGAACATACTTTACGACCATAACCTCAAAAATATCCATTTAGAAGCTTTCTAGATCACAAAATCTTCTGTTATGATTAGGCAATGAAGGTAAAATTGCTGATTCAGCATCAAAATTGTCCGGAAAGTATTTTAAAGAAATGTTTTTCTAGTCCAAATAACCATTTTTGAGGTTATGTTCTACTCCAATACAATTTGCAATGTTGTTTTTGGCATGAAAGATTCGGAATAGCGATTTTTTTATTGCGTGAAAATGTTTAGTTCTGCCAATTACAAGTAATTGATTGACTAAATCTGTTCTTTATTCGTTACATAACCTAGAAAAAGATTATTGTGATTGTTATCAGTGGAAAAATGTAAGGAAATCCATTCAGGGAAGGAAAATTGGAAGTTTTTGCACACTTTCACATCCCAAAACTTCTGTTATCCTTATTATCTCCCCCTTGGCCGGAGGCGCACAGCAGTCAAAGCTGGCGTTGCGGCGAAAGCTCGCCGCGGAGAGTGTTTGTTTTATGTTTTGTAACAGTGTATCTCGTCGGCGAGGCGTTTGCCGATATGCTGCTGGCATAGAATTTTTATCTCGCCATGCACCGCGCGTTTCGATTATTTCTTCGAAAAAGCGAGCAACTTGACGGGCGAATGATGGTGTTTCGGTGTGTCTGTGTGATATTAAAGTGCGCACGGTCAGGCACACGACCGAGCGCCGGCCGATGTGCGTTCGGCGGCAAAACAGGTTTCGCCACTCTTTCGCATGCCTTCGTGCGCATTCCGATTCATGGCCTCAGTTGGAGCTTGCACGGTGACCATTGCGGAGTGCGCGCGCGCGCGTAATTTGACTTCTGTGTTATCCGAAAATTGTCTGTGCTGTGCGGAGAGAAGTTGTAGGGCGCAAAAGGGAGCATATACAATTTTAATAGCCAACCGGAGAGGAACATCTTTCTGTGGGCGCGCGTATTGCATATATTGAGTGAGAGAGTGTGGAAAAAAAAGGTGTTTTTCGGGACGGTATTTTTTTTTCTGGAAAAGGACTGTGTTTCGGGGGCACAAATGGCCAATTTACATCAACCGCAGGACATACAATTGTGAAAGTTCTCCATTTCCCGATGTGGTGACTGTGTGAAAAAAGGAGTTATAGTGCGAAGACATTCTGTGTCTGATTTTCCAAACCATCATCAACTTCTCCCGCCCCGGGAGATGTCGTCATTATGATTTTCACAGAACTTTGACCTTTTCCGTGGATCGTCTGCAGGCTCTACAGCTTCACATTCTCCTTAATCCCCCAGTGTGTGTGCAAAATTCCTTCTCTCCACTGTAAATGCTACACCCTTCTTCGGCTATGGTGGATGCTTTGTGACTCAGGGTGGCTCCCGGACTTGCCTTTCCTCTCTGCTCTCAATCTCACAAGCAGAATTACAAGAAAGTGTGTTTTCGGTTTTGCGAGCAAATCAATAGTTTGGGGTGAAAATTTTTCACCCCCCCAAAAAGCGAAAATTCAAGTGGCAAACTGTCTCGCTTTTTTTCTGCCTCATCGCATATCCTCAACTTCTTTCGTTTTTTTTTACTTTCTCGGTCAGGCTCTGCCGTATAAGCACAAAATTTCAAACCATTTCCCATTTTCAGGGAAAAAAAAGGGAAGAGAATTGGCACGACGAGAGGAGAGAAAGTCTTTCGCCAATATAAAAAGGATGTTGTTTTGTGTTTTATCTGCATTAATGCTGACTCGTACATTTTATCACCCAGGAAAATGCTAAAACTCTCTTCTCTTTCCACCCCAATTCCCCCCTCCTTTTTTGGCTCTTCTAACATCACACGCGATAAATAAATAGAAGGAGCTTTTGACTCTCCACAGGAGAGAATTCGAAAATAAATCCGCCACAGTGACAAGATTTTCCACCAAGAGAGAGAAGAAAATAGTGATGGAGTCGCTTCGACAATCCTTTGCTCACTGTTCAGCATCGAATTTTCCCCCGAATCAACCCCCAAATCCACTCTAAATAACTTTGATAGTGAGACAAAATTTTCAACATATTTATTTCTGATTCACATTCTTTGCTGCCCATTTTTCCGGACACACATTTTCTCATGGCCAAAGATTTTTACGGGCTTTTTTCGGCATAAAATTTTCATCTTCAAGACTTTCCAATGGGCCAATTTTCTCCCCTTCCCCCATGGCTGAAAACCATCAAATGCGGCGAGGGTGCGTCAGACAGAGAGAGAGAGAGAGAGAGAGCGATATTGAGAGCGCCCAGAGATTGTGTCACAAAGACCGGCAATTGAAATGCAAAATCATTCCTTTTTTTTCAATTACTTATGCAATGGCGAAGCGACTGGAGATTGTGAGAAACAGACAAAATTGAATTTGTTATCAATAGAGTGAGAGAAAAAAACCCTCTAATAATGTCGATACTGTTTCAAGGGGAAGTGTTAATATGATGAGAAGTGTTGTACAGATCAGTGGAAGTGTTTGAAATCTTGCAATATTCATACAGAAACATTCATAATAATACTTTTCTAGGTTATGTGAGAAATTAAGGGCAGATTTAGTGAAGAATTCACATTCTAGCATATAAATTGTTATGCTTAAGTCCAAAAGATTGCTATTAATGCCAAAAAAACACTGCAATTTGTGCTAAAATCAAACATAACCTCAAAAAAAGTGATTTAGAACTTGGAAAATGTGGCACAACTTTAATTTTTAGAGTAAAATCTACGATGGACGCCATTTTTCACTGACAAAACATTCAAATTCTTTGGATTTCTTTTGATTTTTCCATAGAAACAGTGAAAATATTTTTTTTTCTAGGTTATGTAACAAATCAAGAACAGATTTAGTGAATCAATTGCTAGTCATTGGCAGAATTGAACTCTTGCATGCAATAAACATCGCTATTATGACATTTTGATGTCAAGAAACATTGAAAATTGTGATAAGATCAAACATAACCTAAAAAATTGTCATTTGGACTAGGAAAACATTTCTTTAAAATACTTTCTGGATGATTTTCAATTCATTGTCAACTCAAAAAAAGGTTTTGTGACCTTCAAAGTTTTCAAAAAGGGTCTTAAAAACTCTAAGTGATATTTTTGAGGTTATGTTTGGATTTAATTCTTCGGTTAAAACGGTTCTAAGTGGCTTATTACAGAAATATCACATTGAAATTGAATACAACATATTCTTCCCATTGAATTGAATTCCTTTGATGTCATGAAACATTGCAAATTGTTTTCAAGTGGAACTTAACTAAAATATCTTAGAGATATTTTGAGGTTATGGTGAGAAAAGACGTGTAAAATAGAGCGGTTTTCAAGTGGATTCTTACAGAAAGTGTGCAAAGAGTGGCAAAATTTCAATTGTTGTAAGGATTTAAGGCATATTATCTTTACCCTCTGTAAAGTCTTTGTTGCATGTCAATTGTGCCACTCTGTGGACGTGAGTTTAGCAATATTAACTAATTTTTTCCTTCATTCTCTCTCACACACTCTTCAGTCGCTTTGCCCAGCTCAAAAGCCACCCACTGAAAATGCCTTTGGTTGGGCGAATTTGTGGCAAATTTACATTTTAACCACAAATTTTCACTGTGACAATCAAATTGAAATTAATTTCTTTCTCCATGTGCTTTATCAGTGATTTGAACCACAGGAATCCGCCCCTTCAGTTAATTCTAATCTAACAAGTTGCGCTGTGCTGAAACGGATGTGCGACCAGAAAAAGCTCATGCACATCACAGAGATTGTGGAAAAAATTGCCGCAAATGTGATGAGAGAGGGACAAAGAGGATCAGATAATTGAATTGAAGAGCGAGAGGACATTCGAATATGAACAGAATGAATTGCCAAATTGTGAATTTTCCCTTATAGTTTGTGTTTGGCGGAATTAACAAGTGTTGTGCTTTATTGTTTTGACGCTTTTTCCCAAACTTATTTGTTTTACGTCAAAAGTGTGTGCATTTCAACTCCCCCTTTTGAAGTGATAGATAGATAATAAACTGGAATCTTCGTAATAATTCAATGTCTAAATAATAATACGTTAATACAGGAGCCAAGTATATATAGTAAATATTACTGGAGGATTAAGAAAAACATGCCAGTGAATGAGAATTATTGATAGTGCAGGAATATTGTAAGTGCGTCTCCTCAATCAGGATCTGACACAAGAGCGAGAGAGAGAGAGAGAGTGGAAAATTCATCTGTGGAGACTCGCTTCTCCCCATCTTTTGGATTAATTCTTGTATACTCAATGTGCTCAAGAACATTGCACTCCATGAGGAAGTCGTCACTGTGAGATCTCAAAAGAGACTCTACACCTGCGAAAATAGCACCCCAAACTCATCAAAATGCAATTGGTAAGTTGTGCTCAAGGGGGAGATGATGACGCCAGAAAAGTCGATTTTTTCCATAATTCATGTCTTGTGTATTTTTGGAAAGTAAGAGCAATTACAGACTTGCCGCTGATTCTCGAATCGGCGCGAATTTGGATCAATCCTCCGTGGATGAGCTTGGAGTGTGTCAGAAGGTCAGATCAGCGATAAATTGTGGTTGATCTACGCCTTTACACACTCAAATATGGATCAACCATTATTCGTGGCTGAACTGGCGCTAAACACACTCAGGAGTTATACTTCTTTATCAACACTAGCGACACTGTTTGGTGTATTCAGCGATCATTCGCTAAGCGAACTGTCAGTCGTACACACTCGCACTCTCGCTTATCCTCTCGTTGGTTAATCGGCTAGTCTGTAATTGCTCTAAAGAAATTCTCTTTATTCAAATGACTTGGATGTAAAATATCTGTATTTTTGTCTTATAAAATTGTCTAAAATTGCATTTATTCGCATAAAATAGTCTTTCTGACAAACATATTAATTTTAGATTTTCAGAATTGTCCTAAAATATTCTTAAACACTGAATTTTCATTATTATTTGGGATATTTTTGAATTTTTCCACTAGAAAACTATGAAAAAAGTTCATGCAAAATATGAAAAGATGATTTTTATAGAAGTTATTTCAGTAAAATGTGCTTGAAGACTTATTAAAATCAACTAAGGTGGCAAAGAACATTTTCAGTGTGTGAAAATTAAAAGATTTTGGGCATTTTTATGTCGTCAAAGTGTTGTTTCGTGCGTGACACGCGAGTCAAGCGTCGTTAACAGATCATCTGTAGTAATAATATTTGCAGAAATGAGACAAATTAGTTTAAAATTAATCTTTTTTCAAAATTTTCGTAGAAAAGTTGCACGATTTTGTGGTTTTTGTCTTCTTTTTTTGTATCATAATTTGAAAAAATGAGGAGAACAAATTGAAAAAGTCGTAAAACTATACTTAAACTGTGTGGAAGTGACAGAAAGTGCAGATGCAAAGCCACATTATTTCCCCCATTGAATGGTTTAACCTTCCTTCCTTCCTTCCTTCTCCAACCCCTGATTAATCATCTGAGCAGTGAAGCTCCCATGCCAAGGAGATGGATGTAATATCTCTGTTAAAGTACAATTTAAGGTTTAATGATACATAAAAGTGTGTGCAGTACATTGCGGAGGTATTTCTCCCAGAGGAAACTTCTTTCACCGTCTTAATTAAGCTGAGAGCTTTAGAAAAGATGTCTGCAGTGTGTTGAATGTTTAAAAAGTTTATCAATTTCCTCGTCCATCTGCACTGCACACAACCAAGACACAGCTTCATTTTCTCCACAAACTGAGATTGTGTCGTTTTTTTTCCTCCTCCAACAACATACAATATATTGTGTGGTCAAGAGAGCATTGCGAGAATGGTTATATCAAATCAAATTATCCTTCTGCAACAGGATTTTACCAGGGCAACACGTCACCTCAATCTACAATCACTGATGATGTTGTTTTCCTCCTCACAGGATATTTACACTGGTTTGAATCATTAGCAATTCATATTTACGTATCTTACGCATCAAGCACGTCTTCATTTTCACACAATTTTCTAGGTAAAGTCACTGATTTAAGACTAAATATCAACTTAAAGTAGAGATTCTTGTGCCTAAACTGAAAAAATTTTCCTTTTTTGGTAGAATTGCGCGTTTTTACTCAATGAAAATCGTGATTTTAATAATGGAATATGGAAGAAAGTCAAACATAACCTCAATTTTGAATCAAAAAGTTTAATTAAGAGCCGTGAAATGTCTGAAAATCAGAGTTATAAGTTTGTCAGTTAGATTTCGGTAAGATTTCAGTTATTATTTGACTTTAATCCATAAAGTCTAAAATCTTGGAAAGTGTTGAGGATTTTATCCAAAAATATTTTTCCCTTGTATTATGTTGTATTCACTTTGAGACACAAATTTGAGATTTGTTTTTGCGTTTCTAATCCGCGTGTGTTTACTTTAAACACCTAAAAGCTTTGCACTTTCAAAGTTATTCAGTTGCGAAAGCTTTGTTGTGAGTTTTTATAAAGGATAAAGGAGAGCATAAAGTATTGTGAGAATCTAATGAAAATGCCAGTAAATAAATTAATTTAACTTTGATATTAACAGTGTTGTCACTTTTTCATTCATTTAAATATAGCATTTGCATTTTTCAACAATGTAATATTAATTCGCATGCTTTCCTTCGTCTCTCATCACTGAATAATGTATTAAAAATATGTAATATAAATTCCTTGTTTCTACGGTGGTTAATTCTTGATGTGTTGCGCGCATATGCAGTTGTCAGAATTTTTTATACCATCACTTGAGCAACTAAAGAATTAATAATAATGTGAGGAATGAGAAAAAAAAGCATCCTTTCCTGCTTTGTTCCTCTCGTGCGCAGGAACACCTTTTGAAGCATACTTAGAAGAACACCAGCGTAATGCTCACGTCATGCAGAAGAAATATTTGTTTTTGCCATTTAAAGTGGAAAAAGCGGGAAAAAATTCAGAATTTTCCATTTTTTTTTCCTATATATACACACACTTTATGGCACCACTATTTATTTCTTGTATTGTTGCACTGGAGGAAATTGCAATAAAGGAATATTTGGTGTGTTTACAATTCTATCGTATATATTTGCCAACACATATGGAAGAGAAAATACAAAGTGGAAAAGAAAGAATATTGCCATAGAAGGAATTGTGCAATAATAATTAACTATAATTCATATAAAGAATATACATATATTTTAAATAGTTTGTAGATTATTATAAGTAATTAAAGGAGAATACTTGGTAAAGGAATTATATTCTGTTTAATACAGAAATTAGAAGATTTTGTGGGTACAAAAATGAATAAAGGGTTAACTTTAAGATGAATATTGAATGATTAAAGAACACTTTCGATTTTCTTTAGCATTAGTTAAGATTCTCTTTTGTGCAAAAATTAAGAGGTTTTTTTTTTAGTTTTCCACTCGTTTTTAATGTTAAACCTTGCGTAAAACCGTAAATATTCGACTAAAGATCAAGTATTTAGGTAATGTTGAATATTTCAGTGGTTTTTGTAAGCTTTTCAGATGTGGAAATCTCTTCTTACCTTTTGAAATGAGTGCACAATTATTTTCTGTATAAATTTTGAAGAGATAACAAGATTAAATATCCATTTCGTTTTCGTTCAACGAAACGAATAAATTGAGAATGACACGAAAAAAAACATCACAATGCATTTATTATGATATATTGTTAATTGCAATGATTATTTATCGTGATTATGCAGAGTTTCATCATCTAGATGGATTCGTATTTGAATTTGTATGTGTTTTTGTATTCAAACTGCGTGTTTTGTATTTGTTTAACACGCTGGGACACATTTTTTCGTACGCTCTATAGTTTGAATGAATGACTGGAGGAGCAATAAAAGTCAGGGATATTTTATCTTACATTTGAAGAGTTTGGGGGAGGGTTGAAAAACGAAAAAAAAAAAAAATGGCGAAACAGACAAATTTGTCACTCAGTATTTTGTGTGTGAGTAAAGTGGAATAAAATGCGGGAAATTGAAACTTTTGGCGTACATTTTGTGAGTGTGTGCAACATTTGCAAATGGAATTGAGGGAAAATGCCAAGTTGTTCTGTTTCGAAAAGAACCTTCTGAATGTGTAACATTGAGGATTTTGAAATCAAGGAGTTTTCGCTGGTCAAAAGTTTCTCTCCTGCAATTCTTTCGCCTTACTCCAAAGGATGGCGCGAAGGAGTTGCAATGCGGAATGGATGTTGTACATACAAACATACTTGAGGAGGAGTGGAGAAAATGGAGAGACTTTTATTTATTTAAAGTGAAATTTACACTTGTTCACTCTTTTAAATTTTTCCCTTGAAAACTTCTTCGTCGTCTTGTTGCACAATCGATACGACATAGTGAGAAATTATTTTGTGATAAAATGTGAACTTGTCCTCACACACACATAATGTCTTTTCTCACGTTTCTTGCTCATCCTTGGTCTTTTCTCTCTTCCCACAGGCTGTCACAATGGTACTATCACGAGTGGCATTAATCCTAATTGGAGGTGAGTAATGAAAACTTTTATATTTCTTCCCTCAACACCCCATGGGTGAGAATGTCTTCCTTATCAAATGACCAATGATATTGGTTTGGGGAGAAGGCAAAGAGAGAGAGAGAGAGAAAGACGAAGAAGTCACGGAGAAAACACAGTCCAATATATAACTTTTACTATTTATTGTCACAAATTCCATCCCTGATATTGATAAGGATTTCTCACCGTTTGACGTGTGTTTGACTTTTGAAACAGGAGACTTTTGGTCGGTCTCAGTGTAGATTAGTGACGGTGATTCTTCACTTAATGGATTTCTGTAATATCGAACCGGAAGAACACACTCAGAAGATGCCATTAGCATCAACACCTCCTCCAATATACACACATGTGTTGTCGCTACATCACTTATAATACATAATAACGGCCAAATGCCTTGACATTTACACGATGCTAAGATGCCAGCGCATTTGCAGAAAGTGGTCTGCAGAGGGAGGAGAAGATATAGATCTCTATCTGTCATGGGACATTCGTGGGAGTGGCAAACGAATGGGCGGGGCCAGATGATTTTCGAAGAAAAGCCATTTTCTCTCATTTTCCCCCCAATAATTACTTTTTTATGCTATTGATCAATGGAAAATGGAAGTACTTTGAAATGTATTTTTTTACACAATTTTCTTCAATAAAATTTCTATTTCTTGTCTAGGTTATGTAACGAAATTTGAGCAAACCTTTGTGAAAAAATAACACTGAAAAATACAATTTTATGCCCTTTAGTTGGAATAATTCATAATCATTAGAAAAGTTGAGCAAAGTTTGTGATTAAGCAAACTATGAACATTCATAAGTTTTATATGTTAAAAACTATTTAAAAGTTAAACATAACCTCAAAAACTGCTGAAGTTTTGGAAGTGTTTGTGATTCTCTGTTTGTGTTTAGCTGCATTATTTCCCCCTTGAGTGTCTAAAATGATTTGTTTAATTTAAAAATTAGTATTTCTCATTGAAATTTTAAAGACTTTTGATGGTTTTATTGATTCAGTTGATGAACCATAAATGATTTTATACATTAAAATGACTCTTTAATAAATTAATTTGTGCAATATTGATGAATTTTCTGAAAATTATACAATTTTCATTAAAAAAAAATTTTCACCATAAAATATTTAATATTCTGCCTGCAAAAGTAGGTTAATTAATACAAATCTGAAAATAGTTTGCTGCAAATATGAAAGTTTTAGCATAATATTTGAGAGAAAGTTGATTCAACTTTGGCAACATACTTCATAAGTCCTTCACGAAACTGTAAAATACTACATACATATATAACAAGGGAATTTCTCATCCCTCTTTTAACGCTGTGTGTGTGTCGTTCTTTTGCTCTCCCTCTAAATGGGCGAAATACAAATAATAAACACCAATCAATCTTGTTACAATTTGACAGACAAATTAAACATCAACCCCTGAAAGCTGTAACAATTGCTGCAATCAAGAGAGTCACAATAATTTTCATGGAATTACATCCTCTCTCTCTCCCCCCACCAAACCCCCACCAACCACCCCCTTGAGTTAAATAAAAGGGACAAGAAAAACTTTCCAAAATAATATTCAATGTTGGAACTTTTTTTCTCTCTCCTGGCAAAGTTTTGCGAGAAAACTTTTATATTGACTCTTTTTATGTTTGCCTTTCCACCCTGTGTGTGTGTGTGTGACTCTTGCTCGCAAAAATAGATAAAAATACACATATTCCCTTATATATGTACACAGTAGCGAAAATTTACTTATGACATATAAGAAATTTTGAGTCAATTTTTACTTTTGCTGCTAAAAATTCGATATTTCTGTCAATTTTAGAGACTTTTATCTTAAGACAAAAGATGATCAGAATTTTATGATCTTTCAAATGATGTTGAAATCATGGTGATATCTTAATTTGGAGTCGATATATCGCAAAATGTAGCGAGATATGCGCAAAAGGACAGCGAAAATTAAGTTAAGATACTGCATTTTTGGTTCTAAATCCATGTTATAACTTGTAAATCATGAGTTTGAAATGTCTGGAAGACATTTACATTAGAAATGCGTCTTGATTTGGACTTGTCAACTTTCTTTTTTTTCTATATTTTTAATGCCTTTCCGCACAACTGCTGCCCAAATCCTGTTCTCAAGTTCTTTATGAAGTCTTAAGTAGGAAGCCAAGTTGATCGTTTAAGAACAATCATTTAGTCGTGAAAATTACAACATTTTGCTCTGCAGAAAGTGTGATTTTTAGTCAATTTCTTATTATAATGACAAGAAATTGAGTAATTTATTATTGATGCATAGCAAGAAAATGGTTTTAATTGCGTTTAAATATTCCCCAACAGATGAAAATTGCTAGTTTTATATGGTCAAAACCATTGATTTAGAGCAAAATAGGCATTGTCTTTATTTAATTTTCGCTACTGTATTTGTCAGGGAATCGCGCACCTTTGCGTTCCAGCGCCATTCGCCATTCCACCGCCAATTGGCTGCTTAACAATCGTATTTTTCCAGCGAGTAAGTAATTTTAAAAGTGTGCTCACAAGGAGATGTGCTCTGGCTGCTGACGATTACAAACAGGTGCTTTAGCATCTGTATTTAATAATCTTATTACATCGCAGCCGCTCTCTCGCTCGCCCATCTTTCTCGCCGCGGTGTTTTTTCGGGAATTATACATCCTCGAAAACAGACAGGTGTCACTTGGTGGGCATTTAATGCAATGTGTTGTCCGCGTGAGTGAAAGAGGGAGAAAGACTGCGAGTCATCTTGCATTTATTTCACCGTGTTTTTTTTTTTAAGAGAGAAAATGTTCTGTATTCAATTATATTAGCACAATATGTTGTTAATATATGAAATAAGAAAAAGGTGAGAGAGAAAGATGCACAATTTATACGCCACAATGTTTCATGAAGTAGCGAAAGAGAGGGAAAGAACACGCGGAGAAAGACGATTATATAGGTGGGAAAGGAGGAAAAATCGAGAGGCAGGTGCTCTAGACTTTATGTAGATGTATTCCTCAAGATGCGACCAAATAATTCAAAGCGATATCGTGCGCATTTTGGCGTTCTTTGAATAAATTTTTCGGGAATTCACCCATCTTTGGCGTCAAGGAGCACGGAAAATATATTACTCTCGTCTTTCCTGTGAAGATGTGGAATATGAAGGCTTTTTGAGAGTCAAGGGGCAGATATTGCGGTCAGAAGGGATGCACAAAAGCTTCTGTTTCAACAAATTGAGGCATTTATAGGTTATGTGATTGATTAAAAACCGATTCTGGCGATTAAAAAAGCCTCAAAATCATCAAAATTGTATTCAATCCGGGAATATTTCTCTCTTTCTTGGCAGAATTGAGCGTTTCTGCTCGAGAAACTTCAAATTGGATAAGTTTTGGGTTTTAAAAAAACAGCTTAAAAGTCCAACATAGCCTCAAAAATGTCATTTTAACATCTTTGCTGAGTTATTTCCAGTGTTTGTATTTTATTCACTGTGATATTCCCTAAATTTACTCATTTCCAGGGTTTGGACGGGTTTAAATTAGTCTAAATAGATTTTAAAGCCGCTTTTCATAACCTCACAATTTGGTCAGAGGTTTTCTAAGCATTTTCCGAAGACAAAACAAGCGAATCAAGACAGAAATTTTTCAAGAACAAATCGTGAGACATTAAGATCATTTATTACAATCTTAAATCTAAGCTTTTGAAGAGTTTAAACCTCATGAGATGGAAAAACCTGGTTTAGATGGCAATTAGGCGGAATTGAGTCGAAAAAGCGATGGAAAATACCTTTAAACACGTTCATTAGTGTCTGAAGTGTTGAAGATTCTTCAGCGGAACTGTAAAAGTGTTGAAGAATTGTTACTCAGATTGAAGACATGTTATTTCCCCCTTGTTTAAGAGCAATTTGGGGCGAAGATGAGAATTGGAACAAAAAGGTCCAGTCAAAAGGTGAATTTTGGGGATGAAACTTTATCCGCACTGTTGTTGCTAGAAACTTATGCCTAGAAATCTAATCTAAAGTTTCACATTCTATATCAACACTCGATCAATTAGACGGCGATTTTTGTGGCTTCACATGTTCTAGTTGTTGTTCATTGTTTAACTGGTGCAGCAAATATTCAAAGTGACATTGTTTACGCAAGTCTTCGGCGATGTGACGAGGAGAATAATTGGTTTTCACTTGTGTTGAAGGAGAAAAAATCCTCCAGGGAAATTGAAGAACATTTGAAAATACTCAGCAATTGCATGGAGAGTTGTTTAATATTTATTGCACATTTGCTATAAATAAAAAAAAGAAACCTTATTTTATCCTGGTGGTGGAGAAACTCTAAGGATTGCCGTGGGAGAAAGAGAACACAAATAAGATTTTAACTTCAAAAGTATCAAACTTCTGGCGATATTCTTGAGGTGATTCAAATAATGGGACTTTGAAGCAATTTTTCAGACATTCTTTCATCAATTTTCATTTAAAAAATGCTTCAAAAGGAAAGATCAATTTTCTTTTAAATGTCTTGAAATATCTAAAGCTAATGCTTAAGTTTTCCTGACGGTTTTTAGAGGGGAGAAAATTTGAAATTTCATTTGTATCCTTCAAGAAGATTATGACAAATCGGCTAAGAAAGACATAAAATTCTCTGCACTGAGAAAAAATTAATTTCATGCATCAATAAACGAGTGTTCTTGAAATTTGCCAGGATCTTTCAAAATTTCGAGACTTTGTTGTAAATTTAAGATTTTGACCTTTGCTTAAACAGAAACTGTTTTCGTATAAAATTTGTTATTTAATACGATTTATTTGATTTATTTTCGACTTCAATTAAGCCTTTTTAGTCATATTTATAAAAATTTTTGAAACATACCTTAAAAAAATTAAATTTTTTTTACTGAATAAATCTGAATCTTATAAAATTTTTTTTTTCTTCACTTCTGGACTGAAAACAAGGATTTTTCTTCATAAGTTTTAAAATTTGTCTAATAATCTTGATTAATTGCTTCTCAA